AATGCAAGCCTTTTCTCTTGGTTTTTCGCTGTTTATAATGGTGGGTAACAAATATAATGGCCTGATATTGAACCACTATGTACGCTGATATTTTTATGCGTTTCACAACTTAATGAAAAACGAACACATAAAATTATCTATCTTGTACCCTAAAGCCAGCTTAACAGATTGCAGTTATAGCACTCCAAGAGAGTTGACCGTTGGGCGAGCTGATGCTTTGACATAGAAACAATGGCGACAACGCAACACAAGACGACACGCAGAAAAAGACAGACAAGGACAGGCGAAAACTACCAACTGGCTTTATTAAGGAAGATCGACACCTCTATATATCAACAACCTTCGCAGGGGCGCCGCCACAACCACCACAAAAATTTTAACCAGACGAGAAAAAAATGCTATTCGGCCTTGTCTGGTTGAAATTTTCTGTGGTTGTTGTGGCGGCGCCCCTGCGAACGTTGTTGATATATAGAGGTGTCAATTTTCTTTGAATAAAGCCAGTTGGTAGTTTGCACCTGTCCTCGTCTGTCTCTTTATGTGTGTCGTGTTTTGTTGTGCTCTCACGATGGTTTCGATGTCAATTATAGCACATTTCAAGACTGGTACGCAACGACCTCCATTTTGGTCTGCTCATATTGTTAGTATATTTCTCTTATTTACATAATATTTATCAATCTACTGTGTGTGTTTTTGGAGGTTCAAGAGAATACCTCGTGGTAATATCAAGTATAACTGTTCAATACGATCGATTCCTTTACCTCACCATCCAGGAAACTGATCCTCAGTTGTGTAAGAGAGTTTGGTATGTTGTATAATAAGTCGCAATGATAGGGACCTTGTGTGCTATAACTGCAAAAAAAATGTTTAACAGTTTGTCTTACTCTTACAACTGTCTCACTTCTTTCTCACTGTACAATTTTTACATTATCGCCCCCAAATGTCCGTCACTTCAAGTGGCCTGATGACCACATGTGATTGCCCTACTGTGTCTACACCACAAATATGATCTAACTTGTACATATTGCACAGACATACGATAGTGTTTTGTAGAAATACGACAAGCTCAACTCAGGTCGTGCCACTGAAGCATACGTACGCATGTTGAAGGGTATATTTGTCATTACAGTTTTGTCTAATGCTTATCGCTGTTCATTCCCACTGATTTACCCACCCACGTCATTGGACTGTGCAGTTGGAACGAGAATTCCTCGATTGTGCAAATTGTGAAACTCTGTCGTGGAATCTACAGGTTATCTAACTAGCGCGCCACCTGGGCAAAGCCACCAAAAAGACAGCACAGCGTTGCATTCTTCAAGCTACAGACTTTTAATGACAGTCGGAGAGTACTATGACCGCTGCATCAAGCGCAAAAAAAAGTATGCTAGAAATTCAAACAGGCTGGTTCTTTCCCAATGCAAAAGCACTCATAAAAGCCAGTCATTGGTTTGTGTTTCTCCACTGACAGGTGGCATCGCAAATGTGAATAATCCACAATTTTCATTATTTTTCTTGCCTTTTTCAGATTTTGGTACATGAAATCTGTGAAGAGTTTCGCAATTCGTGAGATTTAAGAACGCTCGTTCCAACTGCCAGTGCATAAAGTGTTGTGAAAAGTGCATGTATACAAAACCAACCTATTTCGATGTAAAAATAAACACAATGTAGAACACAGCTGCTGTGTCTTTAGTGCTAATTTGCAGTGATATCTCGTCGACAGCTCTGCGAGAGCGCAGAAAGGAAATATTTTTCTTGTGTCTGCTTCAATTATGTTCCAACAATAAACAGAAAGCTTAATTAAGAGCGATACGAACTTCTGTTATGTTACTCTTATGTTTTTTTACACGGGAACAGGTGGCAGAAATTTACTGATAGCCCGGCAAACTAACGGCCCGGGCTCAGGTCTCTCATGTCGCAACGTGAAGATCCTTGCCTCTCCGTCGCTTCACGGGCCTGCTGGACTGCACAAAGTTGTTCGGCGAGCTTCGACCTGTACACTGCAGAAAGACTTCCAAGCTCACCGAGGAAAACATCGGGATTGTCTGTCCGGCAGACCTTACAGACGCTGATGTTATAGATCTCCGCGTAAATCCGGTTATACAGCAGTAGATTAAAATAAGTGTTATTTTCAGCTGTATCCAGGTGAATGCTTGAGATCTACATAGCTCGCCGCGAGGCAGAAGGTCGAGCAATTAGGATAAGTGTTATTTTCAGCTGTGTCCAGGTGACTACATGCTCGAGCTCTGCGTAGATTGCCATGATACAGAAGGTCGAGCCAAGTAATACGCCTTGGTCAGTTTGCTGTGTCCTGCGAGTCAATCCCTGTCCGTACACTATCCGACAAGTTCATCTCCTCCTGCACGTGTTATAACATCGCGTGCAGAGGAATGCGTCCCATCGTTAAGGTTCAGGACGTGCGGGCAGGCTTCGTCCTTATGGGCTGGTAACCGAACCATGGCAAACCTGGACGGCATAGCACATGGAAGTTCTCGTTAGAAATGTTCCACTATATGACAATAGTTTCAAGTGCAATCTTTACCAGTGCGACCCTTTGTTTTTTTCTCTCGTCTTTAAAGACATTACACTGCAGTATTAAAGATAACATCTATAGATAAACATGAAGTAACGTTACCATGGAATAACGTGCCTCAACTAATTGCACTTCACTGGAGAAAGTCTATGCCAATCTATTGTCAAGATTGTGCGTCTAGTTTACGAGCGTCCTCTAATACGTGCCACCCTGGAGGCACATATCGCTTGGCGTCGAAGTACAGGAATCACGGCATAGTTCTCCTCAGTTATGCCACTCTGATTTCTTCCGTCCTGTTTAAGGGGCCTATGTTTCGTGGCTTCCAATTGCGATCGATATCACAGAAGCCTCCTTCTAAAAGTGCGTGCAACTGCCGCCAAGATGTTCATTGGGAGCCCTCGTCGATTGCGTCTGAAAGTCGACGTCACCAGAACAAATAACTTGTTTTCCACGACAGCACGTCTCATCGATCTCTGGGTGCTCCAACTACGCTGATGAAATTGATTTTCAGGAAGACGTGAAAGCAACCACGTTTGACTCGCATAATGACCGTGTGTAGACATCGAGTATATTGGCAAGAGCGTCTCGCGACATCATTGAATGGATATTTTTAACTCTATTGTGGTTTACATACAGTATTGGTCATTTTCAATGAGTCTGCTAAAATGAAAAAAAAGTCTAAGCTAGTTTAACTCTAAGTGAAAGCTTCACGATCTGTGCAGCATTGATTCGCACGTGTTATCGCTGTGCTGCTAGTTATTTGTTTATCTACTCTCTTCAGTCACAATGTGTTCTTTTCGCGTGCTCATCGAATATTTCCTATTGTTTTCTGTTCTTTTTTCGCGTGCTTATGGGATATTTTCTGTCTTTTTCTGTTCTTTTCCTCTGGCTATCTTATTTGTTTTGCGATCGCCTATTTCCTGCTCTATAGTTTCTTTTCTGATGTTTTTAACCGATTGCTCCTCTTAGCGCGGCGCGCTTATCTTTCGGTGTTGCCGTTTGGCCTCCACTTTTCTATTCTCAACATCTCTGCCGCGGATCTCAGCAAAGTGTATACGGGGGTCTTTTCAAACTTATCGTGGCTCAGCGAAATACATCCTACGTTGTATCGTGACGATTGCCCGTGGTGCGGTGGTTTGCCAACATTATATCACATCTCTTGTAAGTGTTCCCGAAAGCCAGATAATTTGACATCTTTTTTTTTTAGGCAACACCATGGTAGGAAGTTCAGAGCAGTGGGAGGCACCACTTCCAACTCGAACCCAGAGGTGCAATCAGCGCTTATGAATCCCACACGTAAGGCGAGCGGCACAGGCGAGTGGGGCACTGGACTAGGGGCCCCAACCAATAGGCTCCCGAGTTACTCCTTCTTTAACCCTTCCCTCAAAATAAAGTTTTGTTCTTCTCATCTAACTCCCGACGCTGGTGTTTCAATGTCGTTTCTATCAATCGAACAAACGAATTAGCCCTTCGGTGATGCTGGCGTGTACACGCAAGCAAACATTGGCGTACGCAAACACTGACTTGTACGCTGGTGGCCCTTACCCGGCAGTCAGGATGTTTTTCGCGCAGATCACAGAAGCCGCGTTAATACTGAGACCACGGTATTGGGACCCAGCATACTTCTAACGTTGGTGGCGCTGATAAGCATTACAAACACTTGCATCACGCATACCACCTATCTATTTGAGTGAAACGCATCAATGTGTTGTCGCAAGCTACACTTGCCGCGCACGCAACGTAACTTTCACAGCTTACGCAGCTTCTCCGTACGCCCAACTAAAAGTGTCTAATGACTGTTCGCTGGCTCGGACAGACGAATTATAGTCCTTCAGCAACGCTGGCGGCATAGATGATGAAGGTATCGCACCACAACATTTTCAAATACGGACAATGAGCGATAGTCGGTGTAATGCCAGGCTGGCCCTGCCAAATGTTGTGAGGCCTATAACCGAGATGACGCATACTTTCAAGAATTTAGGTGCAACAAACTTTATTAAATTTTACTGAACAGATTATGATGATAATCTCTGCGTTCCTCGCACACGTCAAGTAAATTAATTCACGCCTAATAACAACCCACGGCAGACTTCTATCGCAAGATTGCTGCCGAATCCGAAGCCATCTTTTGTGCAAGCCATTATTAATGACTTCATGGCGTCGTACTATTACTTATTTCCCTGTCACTATACCAGTCTGCTTCATGAAAATAAGGTAATAAAGAAACATAGCTATTTATAGAGAGTTGTGAGATGAGTGAAGGTCAAACAGCTGAAAAACAGAAATGCATAAGTACAGTCCTGCTTGAAAGCTGTGCCCTTGGGTCGATGTCGCACAGAGCACTGGAAGTAAGCTTGCATCTTCAGACTTCCATATTTCATTCTCTCTTCATTCTAATTATTACTCGGACGGTTCCAGAGCAGAACGTCCATCATGCCTTTTAATGTAATAGAAACAACGCATTGTCAACAAGTAGGAAGGAAATGTATTTATTTTCGCAACTCACAACACAGTAGTCATCGTGAAAGACATCAAGGGACCGTTAAAGAATAGGTATTCTGGAAATCAAATCACGTAAAAATAGTACACAATTTTAAAATTCCTTTTTTTTCTATTCTTTTGTTTTTGTTATTTCTAGAAAACAGGAAAGTTTGTGGAGTTTTGTCCGAATCCTCAAGCAAGGGATCTTTCATTAATAAAACCTGCCAGCGCCACAACAAGCCGCTGATTCTGCGCGTCGCGCAAGAAATGGAGCATAAGAAGGAGAGAACAGAATGAAGGGAAGAGATCTGCGACGGATTTCGAGGCATACCGAAAGATTTCCCGTGCACAAAAGAAGTGAAACTTCCCTTCCCCCCAAACCAAACACACACACACATTTTCCAAACACTCGTGCATAAATACAGGGAGCTTTCTTTGCGAAAGAGAGCTCGCTCAATAAATAAACACTCGCAGCACACGTTCTCTTCGGTGCCTTTCACAAATGACGAACGCCGAGATACCCGTCTTTTCTACGAGCTAGAGGAGAGGGACGCTTCGGGTGTACAGCTAGCTGGCTTCCTGGCGTCTGACGTCGCTAGCCCTACTCTCTAGCTCAAAGAAATCACGGGGCGAGGTACTTCAGCATTCGTCAGTTGCGAAAGGCGCGGCCTGGGACGAGATAAGACTAGCTGCTACGCTAACCTAGCGACGTGAGATGCCAGGAAGTAGATGGTGGCGTGTCTTACACCGCCATGTTTTTTTTTTTATTACTAATATTACCTATTCTCTGTCTGACTACTCGGAGGGGTTGAGGGAAACCCGAGGAGGTCGACAAAAGAGACTCCTGAAGCGAGCGAGGTTACGGACGCAAAGAAGAGCCATGAATGTTTTGGTCGCTGTCAGCGGCAGGCATAACTCGTTGCGATAACCTTCGTGTAACAGATAAAAAACAGTCTACGTGCTTCACGCTTAACTGACTTTCTTGCGTCACAAGCTCTTAGGCGAATAAGCTGAGTTACCAGAATCGACATTTTATGTCTTTTTTTTTGGCTTAGAACGTATAATTAAAGAGCAGGTGTGGCATGGTAGATCAGGAAAAAAGAGTTTGGTGCTATTCTCTGTAGCCCTAAATGGAGCACCGCTGTGCGCCTTCAGGAAGCGAGTAGGAGAACGCGAGAACGAAAGAGAGGAAGAGAGACAAAAGGCATTTGAACGAATGTGCGCAGCTTGCATCGACATGTGCCGAGTCTCCATCAGCCAAGCGATGTAGGAAATAACCGTCCTGCAGAGGCGGCTGTCACGAAAGGCCCAACTCCGCGTTGAACATCTTTTTCTTCCTCCTCTCTCTCTTTCTCTTACGCCTACACGTCCGTAAGAAACTTCCCTTTCGACTTGTCCCATTTTTTAAACGCATGACGGCTACAACGATTGGCCCTTCAGAAGTTCTTTTATTACCTCCTCGGTACAAACAAAACAACAAAAAGAAAGAAATACTACACTGAAATTCAGCATAATTTCTGAACCATTTCTTCGATAGATCGGGCTCGGTACGACTGAGAAGAGTGACGGGAAGTGGCACGGCAATGCCAAGCCAACGACCAAACTCAGTAGCTGTATGAATGAAAGAACAAAAACGACACGTACTAAACAATTCAAAAACAAAAAGAGAACGATAATATATCTGTGCGTATGTTACGTGGAGATAGTTACATGCGTCAATGCTGAGAGAAAGAAAAAAAACAAAAAACGGAAACCCCAGGAGCCGCCGACCGACAAACAAAATCAGAAAAAAAAGTTAAGTGAACCTGAAGAATAAACCAGGCACTTTCTTTAGTTCCTTGTGAGAACCATGTTTGGTTTGCCATCCATCAGAATAAATTTGCTCCTAGATTCGCAGTGCCAAACTGTGGCTTTCTGTAAATCGTATGTTTGTAAGGAAGTAAAATATTGACTCGTTGTTTCATGTAGATGTGTGTCCACAGTGTTGTTTTTTTTTGCTTAAATTTACGGAGAAAAAACGCTCACTTCAAGTAGCGATGCCACATCGTTAACGCTGCTGCCATGCTTAACAGGGCAAGCGGCGATAGCATGAGGTCATGAATTCATCAAAGAAAAAATCATTACACTCCACTCTTAGAGAAACAACACACACGGCCAGACCCAGACACTTCGTTGCGAACCCACGTGGGAACAACTGCGATACAGCCACGTCATCACTTTCGGCGCGCGATTCTGGGAACACTGTGACGCTTCAAAACTGGAGGAGACAGCATGTTTCGTTGTAAACGCAAGGAGGAAAACTGGCGGGAAGAAAGTCGAGAAGGAAGGTCGCTCTTACAAATCACACACGTCGGCCTTCTACAGTGGCCACCACACAAAATACGAATGGCGTCACTGCAGGTGTACTGCAAATTCAGAAGATAAAAAAAAACACAGATAATGTTGTGTTATGACAATCTGCATACAACCATCATATAGCAAAGAAAATCCAATACCCCCCCTCCCCTATAAAAAAGAACGTGTCATACCAAATCAAGTTAAGCGTTATAAAATTCAACCATTACACGCAGTAATTATCGTGCATTATGTGATAAACATCTAAGTACATTCATAGTTGATTCACTAATACGTTGTACCTGATGGCGTAGAGCCAATCTCTTCAATAGCAAACTCACTAATCCTCTCATTTTTGTTATTTCCGAGCCGCCGAAAGACGAACACGATATGAAATGGGGGCAACCAATACTGACAACATGAAGGCGATCAAACAATTGCAATTCGTTATGTACGCCGTCGTTAACTGTGACTTTTTTTCTTAATTCTAGAAGCATATCTAAACGCTTTCCTGCCAAAGCAACAATACATTTTCCTTTCGCTTTCCAATTCTTTTACCGTATACACCATGGCATTACTGTCAACAATAGTTTATCAGGGAGCATATGAAGTAAGTATACATCGAGCTATGACTGAGGCAAGTCCCTGTGACCGGCACACCGTTTTCTTGTACGATTGCTCTCTCATGCGGTATTACAATAAATTTTTTTTTGTTTCTGTTGAAACTAGATGCTACATAATCCGACGATGCCACGTACACTCGAGACAACTCACGTCCTTGATCACAGCCTTCGCTTTCATCACCAAATAAACAACAAGAGGACGGTAGAAAAGACAATAAAAACGGGCGAAACGAATTCTTCTCCGGCCAGAAGACCAGGCTGGGAGACACCGACTTCCACTTTTCCGAGTTCCGCATTTGCTCCTTGCGAAGGCCCCTTCCGGTTTCTCCTCCTTTCCGGAAACACGTCCAGTCCTGGCGCCGAAAGCGGACCAGTGTCAGCCACCCCGAAGTGCGACGATGGCGCGACAATGAGTGCGCGCGTGGATCCGTCTTCTGATCTGTTGGCGGAGACAAGCAACGATTGGTGGGAGGCGTGGTTTGTTCATATCGGAAGCAAGTTGACTGAACCGTATAAGTTTCCCCTGTCTTACTTCTTTTCGTCCGGGACAATCCTGTTTTGTCATCCCGGAGGCAGGCGCGAATTCGCCTATGTACTTCAGGAGGCGTGTAGCCGACTATTTCAAAGCATTACGTTCGAGCCTTTTGCCTTCAATAACAGTACTTATACTACATTCAGACAGAAAAAGACAAACGAAGAGTGCCATTTGTTCACTTCCGTCTCTGACCCATGTGTTTAGCTGGAAATCACGGAAGCTCACTATGCTGTAGTAAAGACAGCAGAAAAAAAAAAAACATCCCCTGTTGTGTGACTTACTGTCTCATTCATTTCTTCGATTACTGATTGGCATATATTTGCTTTTGTAGAGACGCCAGCACAGAAATATTCCGTACTTTCATTCACAGTAGGCCTGTCCATCCCATGGAGCCACGACGCCTTTACGCCTTTAGGGGATGATTTTTTTTTCTCGTTGCACTACTTAAGCTATCGGAGAATTCAAGCATAGGTTATGAAAAGAAAGTCACTAGTACACGCTTTGATTAAACTTGCATGCACAGCTAGTCTGCAGATTACAGGTGCTTGTATACCACTGTATATGGAGTATACTGATCCCACGTACACCTTGCATGCGCAGCACGTCATATCTCATTTCGTAGGCTGTTCAACCTCACTCATTAAATGATGTAGGCCTTATTTAGACTAATACCAAGGCCGGCGTGGAAACATACCATTCGTTAAACATTAAGTTCGCATGCACAATGTTACTTTCATGCACGACATAGTCCACATACAATGCTCAATGTGAAGAAGACGAGCCTTAGCTAAGTACGAGAGTATTCTTTTGTAAAATGTTTTGTTAAAAGCAGCCACACCAGTGTTGTTGGCATGATAGAAAAGCAAGTGCAAAAACTTAGTTTGGACAATTGGCTCAATAACCCTCAGAAAATGTTTGTGGGTAAGGGGGTAGCGGTAACGTAAGGTACGGCAATTCAAAGGCGCTCACAGTCTGTTACCCTGCACTAAGGAAAGGGAGAGAGTAACAAAAAACGAGGAAAATAGTGTTCACATTATATGTGTGCACTAGCGAGGATACCCAGAACCCAAGTCTAAACCGACGCCAGAATGTCTTCCGCACATGTTAGTCGACATTTATGAACTAGGTTCAATGGTTAGCTTGTAATGAACCTGAAATAGGGAGCAGAAAACACACCACACTAGTATAAGAAATCAAAAGGCACATAAGCAATGCACCTTGTAACAACTGCAAACATGCGCGCGCATATTGCGCAGTTATTCCCCGTTATTTTTCTAAGTGAGCTTCCCATGCACTTCCCTGACCTGGGAGGAGATCTGAATGCATTTACCAGAACAATGCGATACTCTAACACGTTTGTTACTTCAAACATCTGTAATGTCCCTTCAGTCGCTATAATGACGAGTGCTGCTGATTGGCAGTTTGGCGAATTGGTGCATCACATTCTATTATTGCTTGTGTTAGCACTAATCCTCCTGTCTGTCGTCCTCGTTTATGTCCTCCTTCCTTCATGCTGAAACCGAGTTCCTGCTAAAGGTACATAGGAGTGTGATTAGCCCTGTAAGGCATTGCTTTCTGTGCCACGTCATTGCACCCGGCCGTGGCTTATACGAACTCTCTCGCTCACCTGCATTTTGCTCAGAAGACCTGTATGCGGTGGTTCTCGCGGTCGCAAACGACGATGTTGCCGCTGGGCATGACAGCGATGCCTTCGAGTCCCTTGAACTCGCCGTCACCCGAGCCCCACTGGCCAAAGGCGCGCAGGAAGGAGCCGTCCGGCTGGAAGATCTGTATGCGGTTGTTGCCCGAGTCGCCGACCATGATGTAGCCCTGGTCGTCCACGGCTACGCCACGCGGGAACTTGAACTGGCCTTCGTCCGACCCTTCGGAGCCGAAGGTGGAGAGGCTGCGCCCGTTCACGTCGAAGATCTGGATGCGGTGGTTGTTCGAGTCGCTCACGATCACGCGGTTCGTGTTCGACACGGCCACGTAGTGCGGGTGCTCCAGGTGACCGGGTCGCGAACCGAGCGAGCCGAACTTGCCCACGAATGTGCCGTCCGATTGGAATACCTATATGGGGGCACACAGAGTGGCACTCGTTATAAGGAACTCACCACTAGCATGTAAGAACTAACATGCACGACGTGCACGTAGCACAGAATTAGGCGAAGTTCTCGAGACTGTATAGCTAGGTTCAGGCTTCTGGCCCTGCAAGTACGATGCAGTTCATGTTAACCAGTGAAAAGTTAAGCCAATCTGAGCGGAGGTGACACTCGGAAGGAATCTCACGTAGGTTCATACAACTTCACACATTTTTCGCGCAAATGGGTGTCGTTTTTAATTCAAGGAATTTTTTTTGGCGTACAGCAAACACTTTTGGCATCTATCTACCTATCCATTACATATCTATCTATCTAGCCGCTTACGCCTACGTGCTCTCATGATTACCCCCTTAACTTCGCGTGAACAAAATTAGTATGGGAGGGTACGATGGTTCGACGAATATGATGCACTGGTCAAAACACGAATGATGTCACAGTTCCATCACGTACGTCATCAAACAATTGACACCAGACAGTGACACATACCCTAGGGTGTATGTGCCACTGGTTCACGGGCATTTAGTATCTACCCAGGAACGTCGAGAACACACTTGGGTAATTTTAACACGTGAGCGTTAAGAAAAGACACACATCGGCAGCGTTGACCCGACTGAAAGCAAATCATAAGTGTCAGGGTCCCAGCAGGATTCAAACCCCCACATTCTGCGTGGCAATTCAGTATTGTATACCATAGAGCCATGCCAGGTACCGGACCTACTTTGCGAACAGAGCCTAATGTTCGTGAAAAGTAAATCCTGGTTGAATGTGCTGGCTTTCCAGTTTTAGTAAACCTTACATACGTCACTCCTCTAATACAGCCGTGACGTTGGGTTAAGCTCATTTGTACTTAGGTACCATACACTGAAGTTGATTTATGTAGCAGTGTCCAGGACTACCATCCTCACGAGCACCAGCAATTCATGTCGGCTTGTTGCTTCTGGTGTTACTAATACCTAATATCTGCGTCGGCACCGTTGCGCAAGTGCAAACAATTGGTTGTAGACATCTGCAACTCTTCATCCTATGTCTGTGCGTGCAACATCTTTACATACATTTAGCGTTATTTCATAACGAGTCGCTCAATAAAAAAAATTACAACCCAGTCACCTTTCCTACGCATACTTTGCATTCATCGATTCCCAAGGTACGAGGACTTGCCAAATTTTGTACTTACAGCGAGGCCCAAAGAAGCTCACTTTTTTTTTCATGTCACAAAAGTAATTTTACTTTATTTCTAAAATTATTTTCAAATTTGCAATATAATATATTCGTTTCCTTCCATCTCCTTTTTCATCATCTTGGTCTGTCATCAAGTAATTTTATTTGTTTTTCTTTCTATTCCTACTTTCATAATTATAAGCGACTCACCACAGCAACAGGGCTGTCACTTTAACAAGTAGACGAACCATGGTGCGACGGATCATTCCTTAGGCTTCATTGGTATTTCCCGCTACGGCATAAAAATAAGAATTTCTGAGTTGTAGACCAGCATTCGCTATGCTATTTTCGTCATTCTTCTAAGAAGCGTTGTGTACGCTAAACACTTGCAAGAAATAGTGTGCCAATTGTTCATGCAGTAGCGGATGACGATGAGAATTATGCCTGAAGAAGGTATGCGTCCCAGTAAACAGGTGATCAAAAACAAGCTTTTGTAATGGGTTGGAGCATTGGACGACCGACTCGTTACGCCATTCGCATTGTGTGATGCCTCGTTGTTCTTTTTCTGTTTTAAAACTCTTTATTACTCATATTAACGCGATTCCTTTGCCGACATCAAGCCTCTAAAGCAAGTTCGCGAAAGAAACCCGAGCACTGGCGTGGCTCAGCGGTAGAATACTGGGCTGGGACTCTGTGGAACCTACTTCAAGTCTCACTGTGTCTTTGATACTAGGTTTTTGTTTTCTTATTTCACGATAGTGGTTACGGACACCGGCGGCAGCGGCGGACAACTGTGGCACTGCGGTGACCCTAGTTTTGATCTTATAATAGCTTTCACTGTAAAACTGTTGTTCCGTAATTATGGTGCAGTTCTTAAAGCGACGGGCGCCCTTCCTTTGATCAATTCCTCGTCAGAACAGAACATACGCAAGACTTTTCATAATTATTGTTACCACGAAACAAAAAAAGACAGTCCCCCGAAAGTGCAACTCTATTGTCACAACTGAAGAGATGACCTGTGTAAGCAGTACTCACTTGGACCCTGTGGTTCTCCTTGTCGCACACGTAAATGAATCCCAGCGAGTCCGTGGTGATGCCCCAGGGATAGTTGAAGCGAGCGTCGGTGCGCCCTTCGCAGCCGAACGCCCTGAGGAAGCGGCCCGACGGGTCGAAGATCTGCACGCGGTGGTTGTACCGGTCGGACACGATGAACTGGCCGATGCGGTTCACCGCCACGCCGGCCAGGCAGTCGAACTCGCCCTCCGAGCTGCCGTACGTGCCAAACTCGTGCTGAAAGCGGCCGGACGCGTCGAATACCTGCGACACGCAAGGCAAGGTTTCCTCCCTGTCCAAGGCACGCAGAACGATGTACTTGAACTGGTATAGCGCATTATGGGGAAGAAGAAACGGCTGAGCAGACAGACACAAGAGGACAGAGAGCTGTGTTGGTCTTGTGTCGGTCTGCTCAGCCGTTTCTTCTTCCCCATAATGCGCTATACCAGTTCAAGTACGACGAACCATCTCGCCCAATCTTCAACACTCGCAGAACGATGTAATTCCTAACGAGGTAACGCGATGAGTGAGCTGCCTTATTCAACAGTAAACCGGACAAGTCGGCTCAAAAAGCAGTCAAAGCTGTTTTGTGCTTTTTGAGGACTACAGGCCTACGTGACCACCTCTAACTTTTGTGTAGTGCCACCACTGCATACGCACCAGCCGATTGACTGACAATCCTCCTTTTTTTGTTTTTTTCTCTCTTTCTTTCTCTTCTATTTCTCTTTCATCTTTATGCCCCTTCCCATTCCCCCAGCGTAGGGTAGCAAACCGGGAATGTGCCTGGTTACCCTCCCTGCCTTCCCTCTTGTTGTTTATCCCCCCAGACAAGTCAGTCTGAAGAAACGTACTGCCCTGATGTTTGGTATTGGTAAGAAAACTTGGCGTAATGAGAGAAATAAGAAGTATGAATTGTCAAGATGAACGTTGTACACTAGAAAAGAACTCGACCTCGGTAAGCTGATTTCATATTTACGTCATTTTCAAGCCATTATGAATAACCATGTAAAAAATTTGCATGAAATAACTTTGCTGTGTAAATCTTTTGTGTAAGTCATTAGATTGTTTTTTTTTCATTAACTGATTGCTTACGCTTGATCTATTTCAATTGACTTATAATTATAAATTTCGGTGTCGTGTAATCACACGCGCTTAGCTGTGTAATGTCGACAAGTAAAAGTCCTAGTAAAGCCGATTTATGGCTTTTTTGTCTGCAACCTTTCATGTGTACGCTGTATGAATACGAAATCAAATTTCTATTCAGGCTTCAACGCATTATGTAAAATACACGCCCATGCAAAACTTTGTAATCACAGCTTTCACAATACCATGGTTCTGACGCGGATCCAGCGAAGGTCCCAATAGAAGCTTTGGAGATAGTGGTTTTTTTTGTTGAAAAAATTGAAATTCTGGCCTTAATAGTTTCACAAGAACTTACTGCGGACTTCAACACGCGACTGTAACAGCAATGTCACACACCGCGAAAGACAAGACTGAACTATGACTGAATTGCGCGCGTGTGCTGCCGAATGTGCTGTTTATCTTTCTTTCCCTCTCTCCTCTCTATCTTTATTCTCCCCCATCCCCCTCCCATGCAAAGGGTAGCAAACCGGCTGCCTATAGGCTGGTTAACCTCCCTGCCGTTCTTTTCTCCTATTTTTATGCTTTTCCTACTGTGAGTGCTGCATACTTATCTTCGGTAGAAGTAAACTGCAATTCGCTTTTTGGCGATTGCCTGTTACTTATATGACGTCACCGTGGCTCTGTATACATCCCGATGACGCAGGGAAAAAAAAGTGAGCCAAAAAAAACACATAGCGACAACAATTGGGAAAATTTGGTGTGTTCGGTGACCATTGTATAGATGCTGCTCGCGAGATGAGATTTGCCAAGTTACGACTTTCACACAAATATTTGGACATGCTTTACGTTTCAATCTAGAATGCGTAAATCTCAAGAAAGCAGCTTTTGGCAGTTTCGTAAGCTTTGAAACCAATTACAGTGATGGCAGCATCCTTCCGCATCAACAACGGAGAAACATGAGTCCAAGACTGACAAAGAATGATTAAATGGGTTATTAAAAACAGTAAAATGTATGCGACTCCTAAAGGGAACGCCAAAAATTTAATCTGCTCAACGAAAACCAATTACGTTAGCGAGGGCTATAATCTTTGTATTATTATTCTCAAGCGCTAAATGAGTTTTGCCCTCGCTTGTTTTTAACGTATCTGCCGCGCCGAAGGCGCAGCAACGCGTTGTAAGAGCAGTAAACCTAACCTAACCGATACACGATAACTATAGCCTTCCATCTTATTAGCGTCGCCGAAGGGCCGACCGTTGGCAATACGTACAAGAGAACGGATTACCAAACTCATCGCTCGTCAAACTACAATACTTCAAAGGCATTATTACGTACATCTTAACCACGACGGGCTTGTGTAATGGTCTATCACTGGGTGACACCCCCCTCTTCCTGTGTGTGTGCGCGCGCGCCTACCTTTAGCAAGTCATATTTGCAAGTGTACAGCAAGTGTACAGCCAGTGTACAGCAAGCGCCCTTCATTCCTCGTAAAGCTTAGTCACTGTCCTCGCTTTTCTTGCTCTCCGTTATCCATGCATATAATCGCTTTTTTATCATTGCGATATTTAGCTACTCTTTCAGATAGTTTTGTTTTTAGGTGTTTCTACTAAAAACGAGAAGAAACAGGCTCGGTAATAATTACTGCTGTCGCGAAAGGAAGAAAAGTGAGTAGAGTAGGCGGCAATCATAAGACGCTACCTATAGCCGCAAACTTGCCTTTCCTGAAGCTGGTGTATAGCAAATATTAAAGAAAAGGCTCTGTTGTTGAAGACCGTAGGAATGTACGCTACAAAAAATTATAATGGTTGCAAAGAAGTGTTTCTTTTCTCACCACAAGGAACATGAACATATATTTTAACAGAACGTGAGCCCTTGGTGTCTGCTTGTTTTAGCTGCAGATAAAGCACTAGGAAAGGATAAAACGAAATATCAAGATAAAAGCGAACGTGAAGGTTCTCTCGCTCTCCAACCTATGTATTTCTCTCTGCATTTCCCTCTTTCTCCTCTTGACTTCATTACAGACCCATTACACCCCTCTAAGCACAACCCACATTCTCTGAACCTATCTGAATACGTTCCTCGTGCATGAGCTTAAAACGTTGCACACGCATGATTTATTACCGTTGCCTCTTCTCTTACTTTCTTGATGCAAATTTTACAAAGAAACCCTTGTTGTTCGTAGAACATACCACGCAAGCACGCACGCACTAACACACAAACAAATACAAACTGTCCTTAACAAACCAAGACCAATCTCTCATTACAACTTTGTAGTGCACCGACATTCTGCATGAAAAAATTTTTCATTCTTTATAAGTCAGTAAAGAAGCAAAAAAGTTCTTGCAGGACAAAAACCACTAGTTATCGTGTTGCACTTACCGATGGAAACAAGCCGGAACGCATGGAGATCCACTTGCACGTCTCATCAGACGAAAATGTCTTCCAACACCCGAGTTCGCAAAAGGATTCACTTACAGGTAACTTCACGCTTAATATAATTATTTTCCTGCGAGCTGCCAGAGTAATTGAATGGCTTGCACGCAGTAGAAATCTAAAAAGCATCTATTGACAGAAACTGTGTGAGCGACAGAAGCCGTGTGACGTGCCGCGCACTGTCTTGAAAGCTTCAGACAGAAGCCTTGAACAAAATGCATCTAATTACATCTCCTTGCTAGGCAGACAGACGTATATATTTAGCTCGGGAAACGTCAGTCACTACAAGATTGTGACAAAATATCGCACTCTTTCGAGAATCACAAACCGATTTCCAACAACTAACTTTCCGGCGAAGCTTGTTCTTTCTAGTCATTGCTATAAGAATCTCATTTGCCTGATATTAAATTGCATACCTTAAAACGTCGGGTATCATTTACCCAGTTGAAACCTTGCACTCAGGTAATGCTTTTCAGCAGCTGTGATGCTACTTTTGCAAGGCACTAATTTAACAACAGGCAGTTTACTTTGCAAAAAGAGCGAGCATAACCTCAATGTTCATAATTTTGAGCACTGTAATAAGTAATTTATGTAAGCGCAGGTGATAAGACCAACCATAACGAAATATATTACAGCCCAATCTAATTTCGCCACATAATACACATCGCCACATGCCTTTGGAACACTTTAAAAGCTTCCCTATGTACGTGAGTCACTTTAAAGATTAGGATTAATACTACGCACCATGAGGGCATACACTGCAATGGTCGTAATACGTTGACGCAGCTTGGCCGCACGTTCTAAATAAACGTTTGGTGTCAACACAAACAGAACAATCTTCAGAAAGTGAATTGCTTGCTAAAAGTGAGGAAATTGGGTGACAGTAACAATATACGAGAAAACGTTTTGTCAATCTCCCAATCACCAGTATTCGCTGTTCAAGGTAAAGGGTTCAGTTGCCTAGAGACATACTCGAAAGCATATACAGCCCTAGCACAATTCCGTACCTTTACTAATTAGATGTGCGCTATGCATAGCATAAAGAAACGGGCCCGCAGTTTGTGTTTATTGTCCTCATAGAAAGAAGCAACTATATTTTCACGTATCAAGCGGCTTCTTTCGCTCACGCCCAATATTATACGTTTGACGCATGCTTGAATAAACATTAAATTTATATGCAACCGTAGCACACTTCTTCCGTTAGCCGTCATAATGTACCGCTTAAATGTTGTTTTACCCCTTCTTTACGACAAACTGCAAGGTACTTGCTGATAAAAGGTAAGACGCCAGTCATGTTCATAACACCCATGCACGGAATGTTGCTTAGGGCCCCGCATTGAAAAGCCCCAGTGATGACCCCAGATGGGTTTCCCTGGTGAGGTTAAGGCCTCTTAACGACGCTCATCAGGTACACACGCATTCTGAATGAATGGTTTAATCACGGCGCACAGTTGCGCTATAAAAGGTCCCCAATATCGCCACTGCAACGCACATAAAACGCAGCGAAGATCTTCACGCGAGATCTCTTCGGAACGAAGTAAGAAAGAAACCACAGGGTGTCGCATTCCATCCGAATATACGGGCAGACTGCGTATCATAAAGGCGGTAAATAGGATTGCAGTTGCGGATCCCCATGGCGACATGGCAGGTTTCTGGATAGCGCAGAGACAGCCGCATTCTCGCAATATTTATAGTCAGCTTACTCCTTGGGGGCCTATAAGCCTTTCTTTTGCTGTCGCTGTGAGTGTCG